TGCCACGAGCCGTGCGGCGGCTTGGAGTTGATGTCCTTTCGCGCGACGCGCCGCTCAGCCGTCGACGCCGCCGCCGTCGCGAGGGCGCGGAGCACCTCGATGCCGTGCTTGAGGAGCGGCAGCGGCACGCCGTCCTCGAGGTCATCGGTCCGCGGCCGCGACGTGTCCCGCGCCGCCTCCTCGCTCCCGCCGGAAGCGGTCCTGGCGCGTCGCATGCCCTGTATTGGCCTCGTGTCGGCACCTTGACGAGATGTTGACTTTGGGACGGTACCTCAGGGTGACTTCGGCTATCGACGCGGGTTCATCCCCACTTACATGGCCACCGACACCCCGCCGACGGACGCCGGCGAGCGTCGTCGCTCGGTTGTCCGGTCGTCCCCGGAGGTACCGTTTTCGGGGTTTTATTCGCGCGCGAACGCGGCCGCGGAGCGACGCGCGGCCGCCGCGCGGAACGCGATCATCGAGTGGTCGGATTGGACATCGGATTCCCATCCAACGCGTCGGACTCGTCTTAGAACGCGTCACTACGGGTGGTTTCTACGGAAGCCACGCTACTGGGGGACCCTCCGCAGAGCCGGAGCCGTAGTGGGAGCTACTAATCGGAAAGCCAAGTGACGGAAAAGTTTAGCCGATCTGTACGAGGATATCTTCGATTACTGATGTTACGACCGCGTTAGCTTGAAATGCGCGGTGACCCAAGATTTTCGAGAGCTACTGATGCATCGACTCTCAAGACGAGATTACGCGCGTCTCAATCCGGGTCGCTTGGTACTACCCAAAGCGTAGGTTAGTTCTGATTTTGCTTTGAGGGTCTCCCACAATTGTCGTAGGCTGCGTGGGAGATTTTTGCAGCTTTGATGTGACCCTTAGCCGTGTCACAAATGGGCCCAGTATATCCAATCTTGGTCCGGTCCTTTCTGAATTCCGGAAGAAAATACTTAGTCTCGAGGGGGGCGATGTAAACGAGATTGGCAATAGGTCCTCACCTCGAGCGGGTCATGGAACAATCGAGGTTCCGTTCCGCTGCGTTGTGCATGCTCGGCAGGACGAAAACCTTGTGAAACTTGTATTGAAACGGCACTGCGATGGAGAACCCTTTCAGAAGACCGCCCTGCCCCCAGGATTGGCTGAGGATGCTATCCTAGGCGAGTTTCCCGGCCGTTGTTACGGCTCTGTCCGGGTTTGTTTCGCTTGCTTTTGCGTTTACGACCTCATAGAACGTGCGAGAAGGCCAGCCAATGATTTGAAGACGAAGCCACAACACCCCAAGAGGTCATGGTCCAATATGTACGCAGTGGGAAATATACCCTCCCTCGATAGCATCAATACGGCCTTAAGCCCCGAAGCTCGTGCATACGTGCGAGCACAACAAGCTATCTCTCAGTTAACCACATTGGACGTAGCCGAACTTAGGAGCTATGCCTCGCCACCACCTGCTGTCTCCCTGGTAATGACTGCAATGTTCGTGCTGTTGACTGGTGGTAAGATATTAAGCTGGATAGAAACCCGGCATGCGATGGCAAATGGTGAAGCGTTTTTGTATGAACTCACGGTGTCGAGAGAGTTCCCGATTGACAAAGAGCTGTCCCCATACTAGGCGCACACTGCTCGATTTTGATTGTGACTCCATAACGACCGAAGTCGAGGGTCTAGTTGAAAGATACATATCCGGGAATATTTTTCGACCGGATGTTATTTCTCGAGTAAGCGTGTCTGCTTCTCGTGCATCGCTCTGGGTACTTGGCATGTTGGAGGCTCGAAAATGGCGCTCTGGACGTGGTCACGATCGCCTGGATCGCCTCACTAAAGAAAAAGCGCCCGCCCAACTGTCAAACAAAGCCAGCCTCGCGTCAAAAGTACAGATCCGAGGATGTCGCACAGATCGTATGTTAGCTCGTGGTGGCATCAAAAGGAGTCAAACTATCTCGGCTCTGAATTCGGCGGCTGGGGGTATAAGAAACCTCACACAGGCAATTCGTTCCCCGCTAGCAGATAGGTCGTCGCCGCTACCCCCCTTGGTGGACTGGTCATCCGCGCTTGCAAATTCTTCTCCGAGCTTGTCTGTGCGAAGCTCGTTTGAAACAAGCCAAATGTCACCCCTACTCTTCGCTCGCACTGTTGATTTATTACCAGTCGAGATGCAAAGTGTATCCCCCCATCAAAATCCTTTTTGCATCTTAAATCATTTACCTCGAAGGAGGCAGCGTCAAACTCTGACAAAAGAAGAGCGTGCCTCTCGCTTGATCACACAGCGGCGACAAATGGAACGATTAGCCTCACGACCTCAAGATAGGCTAATGAAGGATAATGAAGCTTCTTTGTCTACTGCTGCCAGTGATAGTCGAAGAGTTTTTGTTTGCTCTGATGGTCTAACAGTACTCCCCTACGAAGTCCTTGGAAACCCCTCACTGCAACTTTTAAGCTTCAGTTTTGTCGTCGTTCATGATATGTTCGATACCCTCGATTCCACAAAAATATTTTTCCAGAAAGTCGTCGACCGACACCCTGGGTGCCAGGTTCTAGTGTATAATTATTCTGGGCAGGCAGGAACTGTCTTCTCAGGACATACAAGTGGAATTTCATCAATGACACATGCCAAACATCTTGACGAACTATTGCAACACATAAACTTGTCGGGTGAAATGCTTGTGTCTACCTGTCCTTTTCTTTTAGTTGGCATCGGATATGGTTTCAATATTTGCACAAACTTGAGCGCAATTGCGGGCCATAGCGATCTGTTTTGCCAAACTCTGAAAGGCCTCGTGAGCATTAATGGTTTCGCACAGGTAGATGCGCAGTATGCCGCTATATTACATGCGGCACTTGGGGCGTTCGATAAGTTCCCGAACGACCGCCCAGACTTGCCAATTTCGTACCTTTCACGTTTTCTGTTTAGCGACGCCTACCTTGCACGTGTTCACCCGCAACTTGCATTGAATATTTATACTGCAGTCGCCAACCCGATCACACTTCATGGTCGCAAAGCTCTTGTGCGAGGCGCCTTACAAAGTCCGGCATGCATAGGAGCCATATCTTCGCTTCCTCTGCCAATCTTTGCTTTGCAATCTACAGAAAATATTTTTGTCCTGCCCTCTAATGTCGAATCTCTGTTACACGGTCGAAGCGTTCATCATTTGTGGTCGCACGAGATCCAACCAGGCACACGACAGCAACATTTCCAGCTGGGCCCTCACGGCCGTGGTATAATACAGGGCATCCTCCAAGGACAGAGAGATGAGCAAACGAAGGTGGCTTGCGTTGTGTGGGTTCGTTCAGGACATGAAATTAGACAGGAAGCGGCGTCAGTTGTGGCGGACATCTTTGGTGAGCTTGCTCAGCCTATCGAAGATGGCGTCAATGACATCAATTACCGCTCAGTCCACCAGGACATCAACATTACACAGACCTCCCGCCTCAATTCAATAGTCCCCCGCGCCGCAGAGGAAGAAAAATTATCCCTAGGATCACAGAACGCATCGTGTGGAATAGAGTTTGCTGACCAAATTCCTTACTGGAAGGCTTCCAACGCTACAGAAAATGAGAATGTTGCCATGAACCCATTATCTGGAGAGGTTGGCTGGCCTTCGCCTGTAGACTACGGGGCAATAGTGGACTCAGTCTCGGACTTAAGAGTAGCAGGCGTTAATGATACTGAGGAGGAATATAACGTGAACAATTCCCCCTGTCGAAGTTATGAGCCTCCTGTGGATGATACAGTTGATAAGTCGGACGTACAAAACGAACACAGCAAAGGCGGATACATAAACACATTCAGGATGTTTATTCCGGGTCTTGCCTTGCACGATTTTACAATCAGGAAGCGCTCTTTGTTTTGCAGGAACCTAGCAGTTTGTCTGGCCGATACAACAAGCGTGTCAATCACAGCAAATCGTATTTCGGTCAGTGGCATACTCGCCGGTTCATTATTCCTGAACATCAATGTTAGTCGCATGCAGATGGAGCAAATTGGAGACCCCCCCCCTGCCTTTCCACGCATCCCTTCCATCTGGGGTGCCCATGTAATTTCTCGAGTGCCTCACAACAGCAGCATCTCAAATGTTGAGGACCCAGACGGCACTGCGTCCGCATCGTGTGGCGCGGAGGAATCCAGAGCTGAGGATTTCTTCTATCAGCGAGATATTCCAGACGAGCTAGTGTCGACTGATGCACAAAGATGCGCGGGGCGATACAGCGACCAGGTTGACACTGCAGACCAAGCTATTGCAGAGCGACAATCCATTGATGTGGGCGTGGAGCTCTCTATATCAGATGAGGCTATTGAAACACTAGTAGAGGAGCGACAGCTCAAGGAAATGCAGCGTCAAGTAGATGTTGATGCCACCGAGGCTGAGCTCGTAAGACATGAACTTATTCATGGCTACGAACCTCCGTCCGGCACTGAAGTGCCTTTGTTCTTTCCCGCTCCTTCCGAATACAAAGATCGTGAGATGCCAGCGGCGATTCTGAGTCGTCACGATCCGGATAAGCTGTTTTCCGAGGCTTTACAAGCTGAAACTCCCAGTAGCGTGGTCTTAAGTTCAGAGGGAGTGGACGAGCGCATCAAAGCAGAGTTTCTTTCTCCGCAGTTGCTGCGTGAATCAGCACTTTCGTGCCTTGGCACGGCCGTGAGAGACAATGCTTACTTTGCTGCAAAATAAAGGAAATACCGGGAAGAAGCGCCAGCTAGGTCGTCCCCGGGGAGGGGGGGGTGCAGCAGACCCAGCAGACCACTGGCACGTAATAATGGGACCACGCGGGCGACCGGCCCTGGAGCACGGGCGTCGGAGCCCCGGAGTCCGGCAGGCGTGCCGTCCGCTCGCCCGCAAGTGGCTTCTCGCACGAGCAGGGTAATACAGGGCAAGGCTCCTCAGACTCGAGTTTGCAGTGGACGTGGGGATAGTATTGTTTTCTATATGGGCCGGCCAATGAAATAAATGCTCGCGATGGGCCAGCCAATGAAAGAAATAGGGTGCGACCAGCACTCCATAATTTGACGTGGTTGGTAGCAAAGTTCCAGTGAAGTGCTTTGGAGCAAAAATGTAAGTGTTTAGGGGGAGATGCAAGTGTTTCAACGG